CTTTGTTTATTAACGTTTGTGGACTTCCATAATATAGGTTTTTTGGGTTAGATCACGTGAATATAAATGTGTCGTTAAACCCACCACCACCTGACACGGCCAATTAGTAAGGTTAGTTACGTAAACAGAACATGCCAATTCGTCACCAGTACAGCAACACCGGTGTGTTGAAGAGCAAGTCCACACCATTTACAATCTGAGTACGACGTTTCACCAGTAATTACAACTAGCTTCATCAGCCGACAGACAGATTTGTATTTACGCACTCTAACCCAAAAACCTATATTGTGGATGATATTGGTCGCAAAAGCCTACATGCTAAACTTTGTTGGTGTTTTTACAAGACAGGAATACATTGGATCCAGGTTAGTACAAATTTCTAACCGTAACACCTTTCATGATATCACTTTAAACTATGCCCAAATGAACAACGATGCACACTTTGTCAAAACATATATATGCATTTCAGTGCAAGTATTCGGTATTTATGTTGGAAAGAACCATCCGATAAGGAAGTTTATGCATTGTTGTTAGGCAATATGTAAAGTACTATATATTACAATTGGATGCAGGAGGGATTGTCACAAAAAGTAGACAAAAGTTCAAATAAAGCTGCCTTAAGAAAATGACCATTGAGACGAAAAAAAAACTGGACAGGATATACATATGTGTGGAAAACAAGTGCTCACTTGATTATAAACAAACTACTCAAACACTTTGAATTGAACAACAAAAGTTTTTCATAAAATCACGTCTAATGCAAAGCATATACTCATATTAAAACAAATGCACATTAGCACTATTGTGCCCAGTCGTCTGGAGTGGCCAATGTTACATTGTCAGCCTCTACAGAGTGGTATAAATGGCTGATACGAGTAATTTGTAATGTACAGACTGTACGTTTTTCTTTTATGCAGTTACTAAAATGGTGAAATCTACGTAGAAAACAACGTGATAAATACAATGTCGACAGCAGGAACAGTCATGGTGTTTTGGTGATTCCAAGCAATATTCAGAGGGCAGCTGCATATCTATATCTGGAGCATGCAGATTGTTTTACGTGCATAAAAGCAACACTTGACACCAAGGGATATTCTTTCCTAAACAGTTTCACTACTAATACTTACATGAGAATGAGGTAGAACTGAGATAATTTTTATTTTATGCATAATACATTGAGATATAAAATGTAAAACTGATTTATTCTGTCACAAATAGTCATACAATATGCATTAGCAAAAATCCGAATCTGTTTTTGACTGAAGTAAAACAGATACTCTGTATAATAATATTGAGAATATGCTAAATTACTTTATAGTACACCCTTTTCTATAAAATGCATCCAAACTAATTTTAAGTAAAAAAAATCTACCCCTTAAAAAAGCTAAAAATTTGACAATGTATTTTCACTCGAATGTGCTTTTGCCTGCATTCAAAATCTTAATGAAACATGCTGAAATTATAACCCGTGTAATTATCCACAAAGGACTGCGAATTCTTTGTTCCTATGAATCCTATACAAGTTTGGTGCCATTCTGAGCCCTGTTCATATCATAGCCAGCTGATCTTGAGGAAGACGGCACACAATAGCGAGGAGTTTGGCACGTGTTGTTAGATGTGGGCAAATCCTATGCTCAGTTCCCTCCAGACATACTCGGAGAAGCCAGGTCGTCGAGTTCCCATATGAGATGCAACAAAATTAAGCCCTACTCGTGTGAGTTGTATCTCCAAACCATACTTATAAACCTTTACAGGTGTGCACAAATAGATGATTGTTGCTACACACATCAGAGAGGATCGTCAGTGTGTGTCTCAAAGTACTCAATCGTTAATGCGGAAAGCGATACTGAAGTTAATGCTACTCGGTTGCATATAGCATTAGAAAACTGTTATCACCCGTGTGCACTCTCTAAATCGGTGTTGATATAAAAAAAATTGTGCAGCTTTAAAGCACTAGGGGGCCGTCCATAAATGACGTCACGCACCTGGGGGGGGGGGGTTTGAGAAATGTGATGTCACATCAAAATGCGCAACTTTAAATATAGAATTGTTATAACTCATTGTTATAACACTCCTACAACATCAGAGTGCAGCGCCACATTAAATACGCACTACAATGACAATAGTTTAAAGCGATTTGAAGCATGTTTTATTTTCAAAATGGAAATGTTTTTTTGGGTGGGGGGGGGGGACAGCTTTGTGACGTCATATTTGAGGGGGGGGGGTCTGAATTTTTGTGACGCCGTGTGACGAGGGGTAAAAAAATCGTCCAAAATCGCGTGACGTCATTTATGGACGGCCCCTTGGGGAGAATTGACACCGCAGTATGATAGCTCCGTCTGTTTCTTCCTGCTAATAAAACAAATGTTGCGTGGGTTGCGAACAAGTAAAGGTTTTGGTGGATTTTAATCAAGTGTTCATGTAATCACCACAAGCATGAATTATATCAATAATATCTGGGTAATGGGTGGGTGTTCATTGTAACAAAATAATGGGCCAATGAGCAATTCCAAAAACGAAAAAACCCGTTAATTTTGTAAATTCAAAACTATTTTGGTTTAACACTATCATCCAGTCGAGCAGTTTATTTTCACTGTAAAATCTTAAAATGTTCTCAATTATTTTATCTTTACATATACCAACTGCTTAATTGCTGTTGGCATATATAAAAAGTGCTCAAACAAGCTTTATGTAATTGAGACTATGTATTATCTCCCTCTAGTGACAATGCAATATCATTGCATGATTATATTAAAAATACAGTACACAACAGTACAATGGATGCAAGTAAATGATCACAAATAAATATATGCATTTCACTTGTTAAAGCTGTCTTTTAATAATGGCTTTGTTTAGATAAATCAAAAGCTATATGTAAAATGTTTTAACTTTGTTGTCAATTAGTACTGCAGTAGCAACCCTTCCAGGTTGTATGAAATATAATGGTAATAGGTTCTAGATCTTCATAATTTTAGTAAACCAAACCAGTGGCTCGACGATGAGCCAGGGTCGAATTGCCATGCAATGGGCCACCACAGTTCAATAGAGAAGGTTCAATATCTTTGCAGTATAGAATTGAACTTAATATAGTAATAAAAATCTGTGGTGTGCAAAGTGCAATTTGATTATCAAACTGTTCACGGACTCAAACTACTGATTTATTTTTATCCCCTACTGTATAGGAATACCCAGGTGAATGTTCATTTGTAGCAACAATTATGAGTAAATATGAGTTTGTGTTGTGTATTATTTTTGTATGGGGTTTGCATAATCCAGCCACGTATTTTTCAGTCCTGCGGCATGGTTACAGAACGTTGTATATTACGTCTGACATAATAAATCGCGCGGTCTTAGTTTCACAATCCAGACTGTCCTACCGACTAATGTAAACACCAATTGGCTCCGATTGGATACAAGATAGTTTACAGTAATTGCTAAGAACTGGTACGAAAACGAAAGGGTAACATTTGCAGTACAAAACAAACCTTACAAAACCTTTACACCATTGGAAACCTCATTTGCCAGTAACAAAATATGATAATTGATTTTTTACCCTTTTATCTGGCAACAAAACTGACGCCTTTTTTTACAAGGAGTCATGTTTACATTGACCACAATACCTGCGGTCGGAACGCAAACAAAAAACAACTCTGATAATGTATTGGCACTGTCCTTGAAATTGATTGGTCCACACCCGAGACAGCTTTCTTTAGAGCCTCGTCTCACATGGTGTTGGACCAGAAGACGCCAAAAGACGCACGTTTTCTGGTCCAACACCATGTGAGACGAGGCTCTAAAGAAAGCTGTCTCGGGTGTGGACCAATCAATTTCAAGGACAGTGCATACATTATCAGAGTTGTTGTTTTTTGTTTGCGTTCCGACCGCAGGTATTGTGGTCAATGTAAACATGACTCCTTGTAAAAAAAGGCGTCAGTTTTGTTGCCAGATAAAAGGATAAAAAAACAATTATCTTACAAAAACCTAGTTGCATGCTTCACATTGGTCAAGTTCAGTACGAGTAGTTTTTAGCACCAAGTTTTTTTTTTTCAAAGGCAAAATATCTGTACATCACTTACCCACACTAATCGCTCGTAAATTGCTACAAAATGTACAAAACTATTTTCAGTATGAATAGGCATATTAATGTCATTTTTTTTTCACTGTTGAAGGTACTAAAGAAGCAATTCCTTCAGTATGTTTTTATACAATTAAAAGGCCAGACTTACTGGCAATACATCCACCAGTCTAAATCATTACATGGGGGGATCCATATGCATTTAAACTACACCTTGGTAAGAGTTGTTTTGCTCTGGTAAGCTGACCCAAGTATTATTGGTCTGAATGACTGAGTAAGCAATACAACTCGTGCTCAATAGTTTTGAGGCGCAGGCATTAGGCAAAGCATGTCATAATTTTTTTATTTTCTTTGGTTCTTTCGGTAAAGTCACGTAGAATGTCCTCCAAACAGTCTCGTCCCTTCGCCTGATGAAGGCCGCTTGTGTTGTGGCCGAAACGTCGTGAGAATTGTTATTGTTATTTTGTTTTATCAATTTATTATTTTATTCTCATTCTACGTGACTTTACCGAAAAAACCAAAGATGAATCCTTGCAGTCACGAAAGCTTTAAATCGAAATTTTATTTTCTTTTTCAATGGTAACCAAGCACATTGCCATTATAATGTAACCTTGTACGAAAGTACATTCCTGGCAAGACATGTTAAGCAATAAAGATGTCTGGAATGGAACATGGCAGGTGTTGTAGATGAGGTTGAGGCAACAAAGGCTGGGCTGGGTGGAACGTGTGTCGGATGGAGGATGGGGAAGTGCCGATTTTGCCGTGACCGGCATTGGAGTGGCCTCCATTAGTCCAGCGACCAAGGGCAATCCCTAAGACCAAGATGGTGGGGAGACTCTTAGGGGAGATCTTGGAGGTGATGTCTTAATTCGCAGCAGCAGCTACAGGATATGGCGAAGCGCAGAAAGTTGTTGTCGATATCTTGATGACTAGTACATTGAGATAGGATGAAAAATAAGTCCATTATTAGATTAATAAGGCTTTTATTAGTTTCTTATATACATGAGGCTTTGCTCTTTATACACCCCACCCACACTCAAGGGGGTATCAAAACAATGTACAATTTCAGAAACAAAATCGGGTAGAATAGTTTGACTTGGCATCTTCCGTTGCCTAAAGTTCATCCTCTGCCTCCGATTTCTTTTTTATTATGCCATGCTTGATCCCAAAGTGGGATACGAATATCAGTGCGTGCTAAAACATCAGCTAATAATACCTGTATAATCACGTCACCTTAATATAGCATCCAAAAAGAGCTCGGAGTACCCAGATTGTTCCCTGTCAAACAGAAGGATACTATTACTTTTATATTTTACGAGGTCTGCCAGTAGCTTTAAGCTATTGGCAACGTGTTTTTTGTATGTAATCTATTCATCCAGAGATGCTTGATTTTTTTCAGGAGGGTTATGTATTGGATATTGAGTTGATTCCATGTGGAGGAGTGTTTTGCATGTAGGAGGAAACAAGTCCCAGAGAAACCCTCGCACTCAAAAGGACAACACTAAGACGTCTGCACAGACAAGTTCAAGAATACACTTGCTGTACTACTGTCTCCTAGGCGCCTTGTAGATCAGAACGTTTCGGAGTGCATCAATATTATTATTTTAAATACACTCTATAACAGTGTAGCTGTTAAAGATGTATTCCAAAATTCGTAGCCAAATGTATTTCAGATAGATCCAGTCCAGGATTTCCGGGTGTCTCAAGTGTGTCAGTAGGTGTTTTCAATGGTTTTAATGCACATGGGACAATTTAAGGTCCATGTTTTACTTTTTGCACAGATGGTTTGCTGGTGAGAAGCAACATTATATTGTAATATTGTACTGTAGAATCTTGCCAATTCCCATATCCTCTGAAAATAATCCGTGCCTTATTTACAATCACTTGTGGCAGTAAGCAATGTTTTTGAAAATATGATTTCACACAGTTTTAAGTCCAACATTATACAACTGTAATTGGTTTGTCGTGCAGTAAAAATTACCCCAGTTGCAGCGGCAGTCACGGGCGGTTTATTTCAGTGTCACGTGACACGGCGTGCATGCCCTCCAGCTGCTCCGATCGCTGATGCTCTAATGATCCCACGTGCTCCTTATTAAAACCTTTTTGTATATATCTGTGTAAGAACCTAATGCCTTGTTAATGTCACATTTAGCCCACTATTATACACTACTGGATGGGCTGAATATTGCTTATATTTATGGGTCACGGCAAAACAAGTGTTATAATTCAACTTTATGTTAACTTTATACTGTGTATGTGTATGTATAACTACATACCTATTTCCGATTAAGCATTAACGTATCTGACAATATGGAAACTGACCAAGGCTAATACACCGCACAAAGTACATAATATAACTAAATATATATTTTTTTAAATCCAGGGCCACATATTGAGAAGAATTTAGAATCCTGAAATAAATACAAATCAGAAAACATAAACAGTGCACATATAACCACCACTGTGCTGTTTCACGTCGCCAAATTATTCCATGCTTCACCACAAACCTCATCCACAGCAGGCTCAAGTTCTCTCCACGGCCATCGAGCGAATTTTAATCCGAAGGAGTTGTACATGTAAACAAAACCACAGGGGACAAGCGGCGTGCTCGCTCACTCGCTCGCTCGCTCACACAAGCGTGAGGAAATCATTGGGGCTGCCCAAGCAGAAGCATGGGTACAAGGGCTCCGAGAACTTGCTTACGAAGCAGAAAATCTCTAGCTTGCTGTCGGCGTCGTAGTACGCAATGCTGCCCCTGTCCACGTCCAGCACGACCATGAGGCGGCGCGGCACGCCGGGGCACTGCACCACTGTTGTGACGTTGCCGTGCCAAAAGGTACAGCGCGGTGTGAAGTTGGCCACCCACTCGAGGGCCCAGGAGGAAGTGCTGCGGCCCAGGCGAGACTCTGGCCCCGAGCGTTCCACCTGCCGGTAGGCCACGCCGGCCGCCCAGCCAGTCATGCTCGGACTGAGCATGACTTCCCAGTAGTGCCTGTGTAGAACGGAGAGACGTATGCATATATATGGCGAGGTCGTCATCAGCCATGGTCAGTCCATTGCTGGATGAAGCCCCCTCCAAACGGCAAGGTCAGTGCTGCCCTAATGCAGCACCAACACTGCCTACCTTCCTTATGGGAGCACAAATAAACATAGGTATATGCTGTATAGATGTGGGTCTCAAACTTTCTGGATCTGCAGACCATTGTGAAATGTAAAACAAAGTTTGCAGCCAAACCTAAAACAGTTTGCAGACCACCGTGCATTAGAAATTTGATCTTTTGTGAAAAATAAAATCTTACCAAAAGTTCCACAGACCACTTCCCATGGCCTTGCAGAACACCAGTGGTCTGTAGATCACAGGTTGGAAACCGCTGCCTAATAGGCATGTAATGATGCACAGGTTCGTCAAACAAATTCAGGTCTTATGCAAATGATACACCGATCGAATTGTGCTTAAAGGAATCGATTATTGGCAATTCATGAAAAAATTTACAATTTGTAAAAATTATGTTATTCATTTAAGCAAAAAGAATGAACAAAGCTAATTAAAAAAAACTAAATCACCAATCAAATGAGATGAGAAAAACTACAAAAGAGCACAATCTGTAATTGTAACCCCACCCCCGCCCCCCCCCCCCAAATTGTAACAGGTGAATAAGTGCATGTCTTCTGCTCCAGCTGTTTACCATACAACGCGGATCTGTTTATAATTTTTCATGTAATTATACTTGGCAGTGTCAGAAGAATGACCACAATTTAGGGAATTAAAGAGAACGGGTAAATTATAGCACAATTAACAGCTTGTTATGGACATTTAATCGGCCTTCTCAAGGTCCCTAGACTTGATTAAATGCGCATGAAAACACAAGTCTAATCAGTATATCATATGTTGCAACCTGGATTTGAATAAGTACACGTGCAAAGTACATTATTACGTGACTAATGTTATTTGCTTTGAATTCACATTATGAATACCATGTACCTAGGTTTAGTCAGAATTTGTGGATTGCAGTTTAAATTTGAACCCTTTACAAAATACACGAATGAATAAACTTCAGAACGAAACATGATTGAGAACATCAAGAATAGATTTCATTCTAACAATAACACTACACTTTTTAAAATAAAATTTGTTTATGCAATTTACAGATTGACTGGCTATTTTAAAGTCCAAAAGATAATTTGCTTTCTTCAACATAGTGTATTTGTATATTTTACTACTAGTGTGGAATGATCTACTGATGCACTGTACAGCTCCTATTAATAGAGTACCATTGAAATTAGTTTCTGTTTTGGGAATAAGCTGCAGTGAATTCATTCAACAAGTGGGTTGGAGTGGTGGTCGTGACAGACACTGATAGCAACAACAATGACCATCACACAAAAAGATAAAGCACAACTGCAACACGCTAAACACGTCAGTAAAAGTGATTTACTGCTCCAGTGATCACTGAGGCAGTACTGATCTCCTGTTTACAGCCCTGAGCCAGTGGACACAAATCCTCCATTCCTATGATGGGGCAAGTCAATAGGACAACCATTGTTAATTTCCTCACCAAGTGGTACTTATTTTATCAACCACGATTGTGAGCTGCTTGCTCTACCGTTGAGCCACCTGGCTGGAAACACACTAACACATGTTTATATCGGGATCATTAAGTCAAACCTCAGTTACACTTTGACGAAACAAAAGATGAACTTAAGTAATTTCCAATACTTTGTAGGTATGTAATAGTTCTCCGCGTTTCCCACCACCCCCAGCCCCATCCCACCCTACCAGAAATTTCATGAATTGTGACCATGATGTGAATCAAGACTCTTGTTTTGTTGTGTCGATATAAAAATCTCATTGTAAGTTGTCTTTGCTCCAGTAGCTTAAATATTACTTACATCATTTGCATGGACGTAAAAAATATTCTTATTCGCATGACTCAATGCCTGTCCCTTGAACCTTAATAAGTATTAATAAAAAAAGATGCATCAATGCACCCTTAATATTCAGCTTATGACCAAATCACTCTAAAAAGCGCCCAATTTCTTGAGGTTTCGGAAGCTTAAAACGGGATTGAGCTCGGACAGTGCTTGAATAGGTGATCACCGCGCATAAGACAGGTGTTATAGACTGTGGGTCTATGTGGTGGACAACAGAGGACAGTGCTGTAAAGTAAATTGTTATACTGCACTTTGTTCCCATATATAAAATACCTGGCTTCATCAACCTGCACAGAATATTGTGTTGATGATCAAACAAATTATATTTCCCTCGTAGTTACAACCAGCATCATTACGCAGTTGCCAGAATTGTGAAAATGTCCTCCACTCTTGGGCCTTATCAATAAAGTTGATGAAGCGACTGCCTATTGCGCTCATGCCAAATGCCATGAGTCGACATTGGAGTCATCCACACTTTCACATCCAGTGCCGGATTAAGCTAGTGTGCGGGGCCTGCAGCATATGTTATAAAGGGGCCCTAAATTAAAAAATATATATTAAAACACTATTTTTTTACTTGCATTGCAAAGTAATTGTATGTTTTCATGTTCTATACAGCCAGATCATACGACAAATCGCTAACCTTAAACACCCAGTCGTTCATAAAAGTTGAAGGCGGTATAGTACTATAGCAATAGAGCAAGTGCAGAATCACTTAACCGGAATTGATAGCTTGAAAGCATTTAGCGCGGGGCCCTTGAAAGTGCGGGGCCAGTAGCATATGGCACTTTTCCGACTAGGATAATCCGGCACTGTTCACATCCGCCGAAGGAACCATAGGTACCATTGCCAGGCGGAGGACACAAACGCTTTCAACAATGCTAAGATCGCTGTGAAGTACACGAGGGTGCCAAAAACAACACCGGGACGGTGGTGGTGTTGGCGATGGTGGGGTGAGAGGCGATGGCCACCTTCCATAGGCGAACCCTTGCGAGCACATGATGTTCCACATGTCCTTGAAGGGGTTTCCGTGCAGCGGTAGCGGGGCGTGCGCCAGCTGCCTCTCGCCACGTGGGCGCGCGGACCGCCCGTGCCGCCGGTGGGGCGGATGGTAGAGCCCCGCGAAGCCCAGCTGCGGGTGAGCCGACACCGTCACGGTGCGGCCCTCGTTGGAGATGCGCAGCATGGCGTGCTGCACCGCACCCTCGAACGCGAGGCTCGCCTTTTCTGCACGGGGTTGACGGCAGTGCAGGACAGAGGGATGGTATCAAAAAGCTCGGACGGACGGATTCATAAATGAAGTCGCTTAAGCGATCCAAAAAGAAATTGTGATCTAACTGCTTTTTACGCGGTCGATTACTTGGGCCACCTTAAAAAGAGTGGTCGCCCACCCACTGTATCAATTGCACGTTTTGTTAAACGCTATTTTGCTCTCCCTTTGATGTTCCCACTGTATTCTTGGCTCTTTAAAAACAATGCTTATATATAAAAAAGTGGTCACCCTGACTTCCTGCCTTATGAAGGCAGGAAACCCCCCTATATTCCATGCCGAGTGTGACGTAGCTGATGATGTCCATGGCGTCATCAAGCCCCACTAATCACCTCATGTCCAGTATCACACGTGGGAACAAAAGTGGACCTTTGTTCCCAACTAGTTTCCATTAGTTATATGATTTGTTGAGTAATACAATAAATTATTGGAAGAGTAATTTCTGATTTCAATAAACGGACAGTCCAACTAAACGATATACAAGAGATGAGTGGGGAAACACCTTAAATAACGTGCGCACAACCTGCTGCAATTGTTTGTGATGAACTTGTATCAACATAAATACAGTACAAATCACTGTCGCCTTTGACAAAACCACCCAGATTGCACCGATTCTCGTCAGAACCTTGGAAGATAAAAAAAAAGTTGAGCCCAGATAGTGCTTAGATGGGTGACGACTACGCACCACAGGTATTGTAGGCTGCGGGGTTGTGGTGAACAACAAAGGGCAGTGCAAAAAAATACATTGTTGTAATGTACTATGCTATGATGTCTATGCTACCAGTGTGGTAAATTATGGTAACACAACCCCGATGACTAATATAGCATTTGGGGGCCTTCCTCTAGCAGTGAATTTTAACAGAGGTCTGGGAATATATATTTTAAACATTATATACAGTATTTATTATAGCAGTGTCATCTGAGCGATTCATGTATCCTTCCAGATTTCTCAGATCCAAATATTGGAGAAATTACACCAGAAGACGGCATGGCAGAATTACCTCGAGAGTCATTTAACGGAGCTTCTCTCTTTGCAACATCAGACGGAGCTCCTCCATGCACTCTCAACAGTGGTATGTCACATGCCAAGATATCTGACATACGAATACATTTTAGCTGTCGGCATAGTTCGTCACCAAGTTCATCGCTAAAGTGATGAACTTCGTGACGAACTATACTTAGTAATTAACTATAGTTTTGTGCGTGTAGTTATCGGTGACTGATTCTGAGACCATCAAACCTGTTAAGCTTAGAAACCGGGAATAATCACGGGTGGCTGTCCAGATTGGAACCCAAGGTCCCAGCAGTGCGAGGAGCTCAGTGCTCTTAAAATGTTGCCACTCTGGCTGATGGGTGAAGCGTACATGAAACTGATTTTTAGGATGAAGCACGCCTTACAAATGTAAAGTATTATTATGCTCATTCATCATCATCAGCTATATTCTATCCGCTGCTCTCATTCTCTGTATTTCATGAATTGCCTTCGAAAGTTTACTGAGATACCCTGCATATATTGCGTTGTATTTTCCAGTTGTGTCCCACCAAGTGATTTTATTTTGTTTAGCAAACTTTTTGTGTGGGACTTTTTACTTGCTTATATTTATCTTGAGCCCAAATATGCAACTTGCTCTCTTAAGTTCGTCGATCGTTTCCGATACTTCATTTCCATTTGTTATAATTACTGTTGTTGGTAAATTTGAGATGGCAAATGCGTTCCCCAATAATACTTTTTTTGATCCAATCCAATGTTTGTTCAATATATTTTAATGTTACTTGAGAGCCTTAGTGAGACTGTATAGCCATGCATAACTCATCTTCTGAAACTGGTCATTTATTAAATTTCGATTTAAAGCTTTCGTGACTGCAGGGATTCATCTTCTTGGTTATTTCGGTAAAGTCACCACGTAGAAAGAACCAAGAAGATGGTAATTTATTACTTTCTTTATGCAATCGCAATGTAGTTCCATCTTCATCATCGGTTTTTAATGTTTTTCTTAATTAAGCCTTGATTTGTGAGAACTTGGATGAATGAATTCGTTTCTACCGACTCCAAAAGCCAAACAATGGTATTTGATATTTATTTGTTTGAGAATGGTTGATACATATATACTATATCTAGGCAATAGAAAAACATCAGAATTTGTCTTTTACATTGACCATTGCTGTGTTCATTAATATATTTCAATGCTGGCGCTTATAATCACAGTTGACCTTTGAATGAGATCTTTCACAAAAATAAGATATTCTACGTAATGTGTGTGGAGAGAGGAAGTGAAGGTGGGTCCTTAGCACAGTTAGGTGTCCAGTGTGAGCAGTCCAGTGCCTGATACGAACACTGCAAGCTGTGGAATGGCAAACTGTGCCCCCACGGGGAAACGATACTGTATGGGACGAGAAAACAGCTGTGGGTGCCGACAGTGACGAGTGCAAATGTGCCATTACCCCCTGTCACGATAGCGAAGCAGTACCGGGAAAAAAGACCGACTTACAATTAATCAATTATTTTTAGGTTTAGGCCACGTAAACGATCTGGCCAAACATAACGTTTGGCTGCGAACACATACGCGTTGAGACGCGTGGACTATCACCTCCGCTGAACCAATCAGCTTTTGTGTTGGTATGCAAACTGCCTGCTAACCTGGCTCCTTGATGGGGATTCCCTTGACGACTCGTTGGAGCCAGTCGGCCGGGACAACCTCATCCTGCACCTCAAAGTCTCTCTGGATCTTGGGAACGGCGATGGCGCTTACAGCGTTTAAACTGTGGGGATAAGCAGGCGACGCTTGTTAGTGCATTTTCAAAGTCAATAGTCTCAAGTGATTTCTTTGCTCAAATAAGCAGAGGGGCTACTCATCTCCTGTGGACAGGCCCTGAGCCAGTGGTGGAAGTTCCACACCTCTGGGGGGGGGGGAGGCTACTCATAGGACAACCACTGATCACTTTCCAACAAAGTGGTAGTTAATATTATTGAGCCTGGATGGAAGAGGGGCCGAGTCAACCCCAAACCAGGAGTTGAAACTTGCAACCTTCCGATTGCGAGCCGTTCACTTTACTGCTCAGCCACCAGGCATTTGGTGCAGAGTAATTATGTTGATGTGTAAATTTAAGTAAAAAAATAAGTATATGGATTGCGGCTGGTTTTATGTACGAATGCACAATCATGAGTGTAAACAATGTTGTTGTTTGTACAGAATACACACTCAATTTGCTTTTTGTAAAAGTATGATAAAAAGCATTACCTTTTTACATGGCTGCTGTAAGCCTGCAAAATAAACAGTTATGAACGTCAATCTCTGTCCAGTACAAAGAGCTACTGCATATACTCTTGAAGACACGTAACATTTGTCTTTATTTTAAACAAGGTGAAAACCCAATACGAGACCCTCATTTGTGAGAGACATGGAACCATCACGAACGAGAGACCGTTACGATTGCAAAATTCACTTGTGGGTAATTAAGAAAAGATCTGGTTAAGATATACTGTACTGCAGGGCAATGCCCCCATCCTTCAGTGTATTGTGGTGGTGAAATAATATAACCATTCACAACCCCTGGTGATTTGATGAACTGCCATGATGCAATGCTGTGATCTGGAGAAACACGCATTCGGCGGTGGATCGATAAACGGCACACATGCGTGCATACATGCCGTGCATACGCAGACGCACTGGGGTAGCGCAAAAAGCATGCTCCCAGAGCTCTGCGACGCACCTTAAGCAGGTAGAAGTCGTCCTTCTCCTCCGTGATCTTTTCTATGGTGGTCTTCACTTCGTGCAGGGCCTTGAGGTCCGAGCTGGAGACGTGAGCCACGGCGGCGGCCACGACCTGGCGCGCCCGCGTCGCGTCCTTCTCGATGTTGCGCCGCACCTTCTCCTCCTCCTGGATCAGGTGGTGCCGGATGGTGTCCAGCATGTCCGACGCCTCCTTCTTGAGACGGTCCGTCTTCAGCTGTTGTCGGCGCGCGGTCAAAAAAAAACAAAAACTGTAATTATGGCTAGTGGATTTTTGTGTCGTGTAACACATTTGTTCAATGAATGCAATTATATTAATTTCCCCTCCCCCCCCACCACCACCACCCAATTTTCATGTCAATTTAACTATCGGCAGCATGTCGGGAGACAACGTATGCTTTCCTTTCACATCTCTCGCAGAGCAGTGCATCCGCCCATGTTGGAGAACGGCCCAAAGAAGCAGATATTACAGAGCTACAGCTCAGATCCCTTCTAGTGACCTCTGTTTCATACAACGGTAGACGGTAGCACTTGCTACCTCACTCTGCTTACGCCACGAAGTTCGTTGCTAAGACCAACAACTCACTATACTTGAGGACCTGGATTAATCAGAAGCAACTGTCTGGATTTGAACCCAGGACCTTACCCATGACAGCTCAGCACTCTGACCTCTGATCCATCTCTAACACATTTACTCAACAACAGCTCTATTAGAAGACTATTCGATTCTTGTCCAAGATGAACTGTAAATGTGAATATACATGCTCACACAAAATGCTGGATAAATATTATATGAAGGAAAACGCATCTCTTTGTAAGGGGTGTCACCTCAATCTCCTGATTCTTCTGTTCAGCTTGCTGTAGGAACTTCTCAAACAGCCCTATCTTCCCCTCCAAGTTCCTGGTCTTGTCTTCCAGAAGGTCCTGAGAAATAAAAACGCTCACGGTAAAACCCCATAAAACTCTGATTAACACTAAAATTGTATGAACATTGAAGGAGTTATGCGCTTCATTTGCAAAACTAAAGCATATCATAACTTAATCTTTAAAAAATATACTTTGTGGTTTTATTTACTTGTTGAAGCATGTAACTGAGGTATGGGTGAAATTAAATTGAATTTAAATAGAACTTGAGTGATTGCCTCTGTGATCAAGGTTTTATGATTTAATCTCCAGCCTTATGAACACACTCAATGCCATCGGGAGGTGAGACTGTTAATTGATATTTGTGTGTGCAATTATTGAGATCTGTAAAGTGCTTATAAGAGATGCTTTGTGAAACAGATAGGGAAATGTGTTTTCTTATCCTTTCCCCGCACCTCCAATTAGCACGGTTGGCTACGTATGGTGCGAAAGAGGTTCAAGATACATAATGAAACACACCAAATTATCATGTTCAGTTTGATTTTAGAGATGATTTCCAACCGTTGCATTCATGATATAAAAATAAATCTGCTCATTCTTCAATAACGGTACAGGCAGACCTCGCTACCTTCATTCGTTATGGCGCTCTGTCCTGTAGAACTCTTTCGCACAAAAAAATAAAAATCTAAAAAGCACTTACGTGGGAGAAGATGCAGCACTAACATATTTGTTTACATACTCTCAGCCAATGAGAGATACGAACGCTCTGAGCCAATCAGCCGCCCACCCTCCGCGATTCGATTGTTGCAATTCATGGTCACGAATACAGAAAAAAAACCTACTTTTTGAAAACGTTATTACATAATTTGTTATTTAATGCTATTACAGTGTGCCTGGAGCCATTCTGCGTTAGCCAGCTTAAAAAAAAAATACTCGCCTGCTGACGCGTGTTTACTCCATCTTGGCCTCTGCCTTATTTACGCTTGTTTTTTGTGAGCATTTTAGACCCATCACGTCTGAAATATAGGCTGCAATTGTTAGTGCTGGAAATGTGAGCAAAGCATCACTTTTGATGTTAAAATGCAAGTGATGAGGTGGGCCGAGGTGGATCTGAGAGCATCTGGTAGTTGTGGGTCGTGTCAGGTGGATGTACTGGTGAGTACGGGACATAATACTGTATACTGATGTTATTATAGTAAAAAAAATACTTATAAAATGTTGGCCATCTGAACTATTATTAGTACTATCACCGATACCCAATGAGGCCCTCATATTCCTCATATGTAAGAAATAACGACGTCGGGAACCCATGCCCATAGACACAACGACCCCATTTCGTGCCGATTTGATGAGTGCTCACTGCTTCAGGAACGCATCTTCAGCGCTCAGTGAGGTCTAAATGGAATTTAACTGCAGATGATGGCTGCAGTGCTTGTAACAGCCACCATTGGAAAAGCTGAATTAAGGAGATGATTCTCATTGTTTTTATCTTCATCTTAAACACGTGTGAGGGAAGCAACTGCCGTATAAAATTAGAAGGCTGTGTTAGAAGACATGCACTTGGTTATACGATGTACTGTACATTCTTATATTTAAACAACGGTGTGATCCTGTGATGTTGCATGCTCATACTGTTTGTGTGCCAGGGCTTGGCGGTATTAAAATAGCAGACATGGGGAACATCAGATGGTCGATGGGTCCGGTTATGTATATAATCTCTACCGTAGATATTCCGTCAAGTCCAATAGTAGAATGTTATTACAGGAAAATGTAATGGTACAGAAAACCTGTGCATGTTTTTTTCTCCTGAAAATGTTGGGAAGATAAGCGTAAGAGCCAAGAATGAATTTAATATTCAAAACACTGCACTATACTTATGGATATTCTCACAAATTCTACCGAATATCATTTCCAAGCCGAGCTAAGTGGCTTAATGTTCACATCCTTTTAGACAACTTGTGCCTGATGGCTTGCAAGCGTAATGTTTAAATTAGGAGATGTTTGCATTTGGTGCCTGGTGCTATTTGTGTGTTGTTGGATAATCTTTAAAGTAGGAGGGCGGGTAGGTCTTCACATGTGCACCATAGATGGGTGTTGGTTTACGACGGACCACCCATCTGTTCATGCTCACTCAACACCATACCACCCATCACCTGTCTACCCTCACAACTACCAATTATACCACCAAAAACCCTACACCCACACCATCCCTTATCACCCAACCACCTATGACATCGCTAGAACCAGTCTTCTCACCCCATCCCTCACCACCAATACAGCCACCACTTGAATATCCTTTCATCCATCCATCCATCACCCCACCAAGACCCTTTTATCCACCCATCACCCAGCTATCCATCACCTGTTCATCCTCCTGACCACCCATCACCCTACCCAAATCACCCAGAGATCATGGAACGTATCTTGGTCTGGTGCTTCCAGGAGGCGCTGTGCCGCGTGGTGGACCTCACCAGGATTGCAGACACCCAGAACCGGTTCAAGTGCCACTCGCCACTGATATTAGCCATGGCCAGGAATTGAATTCAGGTCGCCATGTTCATAGCTCAGTGCCCAAACCACTGCGCCACTTTTCCACTCCCACATGACTGGTCAACCATTATTCGTCTATCCACCCATCCACTTGTCTATCCACACAAACACACATCACCCGTTTGCCCTCCCAACTTACCTACGATTCCACCGAAGCCCATCTACTCACTCATCAGCCATCGCACGTAAAAAAAAAAAAACAAATCCTTCACATTTCTAGTCATCCGTCACCCATCATCCCATATGACCCACCACACCACATCACCCATTACTCGTACATCACCCGGCCGCGGCGTGCGCACGCACGCACCCGGACGTGATGCGCGTGCTGTGCCAGCGTGCGCACGGGGTGGTCCCGGTGGCCGCCCGCGAGCACGCATACGCTGCACACCAGCGCGTCGTCCACCGCGCAGTACAGCTTCAGCGGCTCGTCGTGATCGGTGCAGCGCCGCTCGGCCAGCCGCGCCGTCGGCTGCAGCAGCACGTGCCCGCGGAAGCAGCTGTTCTCGTAGTGGGGCCGCACGTGCTCCTCGCAGAAGGACACCTCGCACTTGGCGCACGTCCTCACGGCCGGGCGCTGGGCATCGCGCCGGCAGAAGCTGCACGGCACCGCCGGCGACGACGACGGCGACGACGGCGACGACGGCGACGGCGGCGACGACGACGACGACGTCGACGACGAGCACGCGTCCAGGGAGCGGCAGCCGCCCGCCAGCTTGAACCTGCCGCCGCCGCCGCTGGTGATGCTCTTGAGGTAGCTGTCCACCACGTTGCGCAGCTTCATGTTGGCCTCGACCCGGCGGCCCGTGACGTCCGTCTGGCACTCGGGGCAGCGCACGTAGGTGTTGAGCTCGCACATGCGGCGGAAGCAGGCGCGGCACAGGTTGTGGCGGCACTGCAGCTGCACGGGGTCGTCGTACAGCGACAGGCACACGGAGCACGTCAGCTCTTCCTGCAGGCTGGGCGCGCAGCTCGCCATGGGATCCGTCGGGCGAGGTGCTTCCCGCTCTCTGTCCGCGTGCACACAAACGCAAAAGGCGCACAACGCTCATTCACTGCGGTCAGTCGCTGGCCCCACACGGGAGGTCAGTCGCTGACCCCACACGGGAGGTCAGTCGCTGACCCCACACGGGAGGTCAGTCGCTGACCCCACACGGGAGGTCAGTCGCTGACCCCACACGGGAGGTCAGTCGCTGACCCCACACGGGAGGTCAGTCGCTGACCCCACACGGGAGGTCAGTCGCTGACCCCACACGGGAGGTCAGTCGCTGACCCCACACGGGAGGTCAGTCGCTGACCCCACACGGGAGGTCAGTCGTCTCCTCGTCGCTCTTCTAACGCAACTGCCATGGCTGATGCTCCCGTGAAGTTCACGTATCGATTTTGCTCCACCTTTGTTGAGGATTCGGTCTCCCAGACTGTTTTGTCTCATCCATGCTGTGCTCGACGACCATACTGGAGGTGAAACTCTTCTCTTGCGAGAATCTCGCTCTGCTCAACTCACTTTGGAATTCCCTCCAATTACCTCTATTACCAAGTTCTTGTGAGTTTGCTCAACTCACGAACGATATTAACTCTTATCGAATGCATTATATCTTCAATAAGTCTGGTTTGCTGCTGGCCACAAAACAGAACTCGGCCAGGTAAACATTATGGGTGGGCGAGTACGTGACTGATACAATTAACTATTGTCACATGCTGGTGGAAACTAATACCCACTAGACACAGTACTGCAAGTAACAACAGTGCATGGAGTTATGTGCAGAGTTTAAATTCTCAGTCGATAGTTCTGCTGACTTAGGAATAGCAATTACTGGAACAAGGCACTAACACTAGAGTATAATGAACGCCTACCCACAATAGTCCAAGCATTGCACCCTATAAAGCTGTGATGCCTCGTGATATCACGAACACAAAATGAGGCGAGATGGATGTGGTGGTACCAAAATAATCCCAGGAAGAGGTTTCGGGTTCGATCCAGACTGAAATGGAGCACTGAGTATGTGACACACATACACACAACCTACATTGGGTATTCTATTTCGGTCTAACGTTGCTGCTATAGTTAACTTAAACATAATAATAGGGCAGTTAAACGTAACTTAAAATGGCCACGAGTTGACAAGTCACAGCCTAAAATGTATTATTGAATACAGTACACGTAAACATGTTACCCGATAATAAATGCAGGCACGGTGGTAGTAAGAGTGCACGTGTGCTGTGTATGGATGTGAATCTACACGCATGTATAATTACATACCGTATGTGCATCCCTTTCTGTCAACCCACTGCTGGATGAGGAATACCTTACGTCCACAGCATACCGGTTCATGCAGTGCGGGTTGGTTGAGCTAAGGAGGTTGGTGGTGGTGGGGGCATAGGCATAGAGTACAACAATTCATGTTGTCCGCTGCCCAACCACGTATAGGACGACCACTCAGCCTATGCACGGTGGTCACCCATCCAAGGCCTGGCCAGGCTCAACTCTTGCGTATCTCATAGGGATCGGTCGATTTAATCACGGGCAAAAAGTACGCGTACCGCTTCCGTCGCGTATTTTTTGTTCCGTATATTTGAAACCGGTCGGTTGGCATTTCGTTGTTGTTGTTGTTGTCGTCGTCGTCGCAGACATTCGCCGAAGCAAAAGGTTGGGACGAAACCCCATCGTCACCGTCACCCACTGCGGCGAAAGTATGGCCAAACAACCACCACCAAACCACTTTGACATGCGACGTCTTGGGAGCCGCGTGGCACTCATCCAGCAGTGGGTTGACGACAACTGGCTCGCGACACGTCAACACACTGAGTCCTGTGCATCACGGTGTGTGTGTGTGTGTACGCGCACACGCGCGCGTGCGTATGATACGTACGCAGTGTCGTATCATACGCACGTGTACACGCATGTTGCGGTGATACACACACACACAACAAAAGGTCACAGTCAAATAGCTGAACCTGAACGATGTAAACACACCACGCCACACGCACAACTCTCGCAAACCATTATCCAATGCATCCTGACAGCAGCAGTACGTCTGCCGAAACTTCCGACTGTGTTTTAATGTAAATTAATAAAAACACACGTAACAGTGTACATCGCACGGCTGCAGTATATATGTCGACTGTATGGTGGTGGTGGTTATATACACACCGGGTGTCACGACGTTCAGTCCCCTGGACTCTTGTTACCAGCGTCCCCCACTCAGCCACTCGCCGTTACAGACGAAGTCTGAGCTCTTTGTGTGTTCCTTTGACAAGTGGCGCACAGCACCGCCGCTCGAGTCCGTGCCGTTATTGATCGACACGACGTACACAACAACAACGACAACGGCTGCAGCTGCAGCAGCAGCAGCAGTCGAAACGTTAACAAGAATGGCCAAAGATGGAGACGTCTCTTTGCGAGCAACGGGGATCGTTGCTGCCTGCTGCTGCTGCCTGCTGCTTTGCTGTCGGAAGCGAGCGACTCTTTGTTTACCAAAAAAAAAACCCACCCCAGGCCAACCGAAGCAGGTAGCCAAAGCCCAGCAGTCACCAGCAACCACCACCAGCAGTCACCATCACCACCACCATTAACCCCAGCCCTCTCTCGCTCTCTCTCTCTCTCTCAAGCCTTGCTTCCCCCGAAAGTGAGCGACGTTGCGACGTTTCGACTTCACGGCCAACCACAGCCAGCCTTCCCCCCCCCTAAGCCTTCCCTTTCCGCCCTCTTCACTCGCGTTCACCACCACCACTCCTCATGCGCTACACAACGACGGCGTCTCTATGGCAGGTCGAGTTGTTGTTGTTGCTACTGCTGCTGGTAGCAAGGAGAAGTAACGGCGACGAGGCACTGTTGCCGACTCCGCGTTGTGTCTCTCTCTCTCTGTCTGTGTGTGTGTCGATGGCTTCTGCCTGCGGGCTGCCACCGCCCCTCCGGCTTGTAAACAAAGGAGGAGGAGGAGGCCGCTCAGCTGTTGCCGGTGACGCGCCGCGCTGCTCAGTCACGTGGGGAGTCCCTTTAAATCATTATTATTCCTGCTACGAATATTGTTGACTTCGCTATGTTATTTGCCGGGATCAAAACGATGAAAAAAAATATATGAATGGGGGTTTTTACCCTTCTCTGGCAATAAAACCGGAGGTTGTTAAGGCGTTCAAACACCAAATGTATTTTTCAAGGCGTCAAAAGTCTGCATTGGACGGCACGTACTTGTGGCATAACATGAAAACGTGCTCTGATGATGTATGCATTGCCTTGGGAACTTATTGAGCTACAATAAGTTGTACACCAGTGGTACACCAGACAACGCCACAAGGCGAACAGTAGAAAGACGATGCAAGTATCAGAGCATGTCTCGCTCGTTTGTGAGCAGTTATATCGATAGGACCTTTTTTGCCAGTACCAAAAATTATGAAAAACAATAATAGGTTTAACCCGTCTCTGGCAATAAAACAGGAGGTTGTTAAGATGCTCACATTTCAAATAGATGTGTTTCAAGGCCTCAAAAGCCTGCATTAACGGCACGTACTTGTGGAAAAAAACATGAAAGCGTGCACTGATGATGTGTAATGACGAACTCGGAGACGATAAGGGGCGGTCCATAAATGACGTCACGAGATTTTGGACGATTTTTGACCCCCCCCCACCCCCTTCGTCACAAGGCGTCACAAAAAGTCAGCCCCCCCTCTCAAATATGACGTCACAAAGCTCTGCCCCCTCCCCCCCCAAAAAATAAAACATGCTTCAAATCACTTTAAACTATTGTCACTGTAGTGCGTATTTAATGTGGCGCTGCACTCTGATGTTGTAGGAGAAACATTTATTTAAAAGTCTATTTAATTAAGGAGAAAGTGTTGTCTATATTTATTTAAAGTTGCGCATTTTGATGTGACGTCACATTTCTCACCCCCCCCCTCCTCGTCACACATCGTCACAACTGTCTGACCCCCCCCCCCCCCCTAGGTACGTGACGTCATTTATGGACGGCGCTTAAGACTTGGAGGCACTTATTTTATTTAACGAGCACCATCGGTATAATACACACCCTACGTGGGTACAGTCGCTCGCCTATACACAACACCACGTGGGTATTATTGTTGCTCGCCTATACACAACACTACGTAGGTACACACTATTATTGTTGCTAGCCTATACACAACACCACGTGGGTACACACTATTACTGTTGCTAGCCTATACACAACACCACGTGGGTACACACTATTACTGTTGCTCGCCTATACACAACACTACATGGGTACACACTATTACTGTTGCTAGCCTATACACAACACTACGTGGGTACACACTATTACTGTTGCTCGCCTATACACAACTCTACGTGGGTACACACTATTACTGTTGCTAACCTATACACAACACCACGTGGGTACACACTATTACTGTTGCTAGTCTATACACAACACTACGTGGGTACACACTATTACTGTTGCTAGCCTATACACAACTCCACGTGGGTACACACTATTACTGTTGCTAGCCTATACACAACTCTACGTGGGTACACACTATTGCTGTTGCTCGCCTATACACAACTCTACGTGGGTACACACTATTACTGTTGCTAGCCTATACACAACACCACGTGGGTACACACTATTACTGTTGCTAGTCTATACACAACACTACGTGGGTACACACTATCACTGTTGCTAGCCTATACACAACACTACGTGGGTACACACTATTACTGTTGCTATCCTATACACAACACCACGTGGGTACACACTATTACTGTTGCTAGCCTATACACAACACTACGTGGGTACACACTATTACTGTTGCTAGTCTATACACAACTCCATGTGGGTACACACTATTACTGTTGCTAGTCTATACACAACTCCACGTGGGTACACACTATTACTGTTGCTAGCCTATACACAACACCACGTGGGTACACATTACTTTTGCTAGCCTACACACAACACCACGTGGGTACACACTATTACTGCTGCTAGCCTATACACAACACCACGTGGGTACACACTATTACTGCTGCTAGCCTATACACAACACTACGTGGTTACATGCTATTACTGTTGCTAACCTATACACAACACCACGTGGGTACACACTATTACTGCTGCTAGCCTATACACAACTCTACGTGGGTACACACTATTGCTGTTGCTAACCTATACACAACTCTACGTGGGTACACACTATCACTGTTGCTAGCCTATACACAACACCACGTGGGTACACACTATTACTGCTGCTAGCCTATACATAACTCTACGTGGGTACACGCTATTACTGTTGCTAACCTATACACAACACTACGTGGGTACACGCTATTACTGTTGCTAACCTATACACAACACTAACCGTCACACTGACGGCGCTGAACCGAGACAGCCAACAACACTCTAGCAGCGCAATGTCGAGTGATCTTGAACATCACGACAGGGATCCCACTCCAACAACAGCCACGAGGTCCCTCACAGTGGCCCTTCTCATACTCTCAGCGTGGCCTCGCTCCGGCCCGGCCATGCCCCCCCCCCCTTCTGGAACCTACCAGCGGATTCCCGAGGCTTCCCGATGGGCCCCCCCTCTGTGACCTTTCCACTAGATGTTCCCCTCTCATGTCTAACATGGCCTGCTGAACTCAATACTGCCGTACACCGCAGTTCCCATTTTTCGCCAGCAGCTAGCACTATGCCACTGCACATGCATTACCTTGGAAATGCATAGGAGGGGATGCAGCCCTTTCCCTGGTTATTCATGATAATGTTATTATTTCAGATGCCCTACTGCGGCCGTCTCGAACGCTCTTACTTACGATATTATGAAGCCAGTGGAACTATGGTTTTTGTGTTTAGTTTGTTGTCCTTCCCCCGTACCTCCAATTATCACGGCTACGAAATGTTTCCAAAGAAGTTCAACATAAAAAAATAGGTTTTACCCTTTCTGACAGTAAACAGGAGGTGGTAAGATGTTGAAACACCAAATAGTTACCTTTTGCAAGTCATCAAGTCTGCATTAACCATATGTACTTGCAGCAAACCATTCACACAAAATGCTCTGAGAAGTCTCTCAAAGTCTACCATAGTCCAAACTAGAGGGGCACTCCAGCTCTGCCCGTCCCACACCCCTCCCCTTATGTAACCGTAACAAAGGGAGACGTTATCATCATGAGCCGTTATCTATCCACTGCTTGATGAAGGCTTCTTCCTAGCATGCTCATTCCATCGCCATCCTTTTCACGATGCTGCAAATCCACTTGGTGCGTTGAGCAGTGTGGTCTCCACTGTCGTTGACCTTGTGGTTTGAGCCTCCTCCTTTGGCTGCTGATCTATGATCAGTCCATTCCATCGGCCATCATAATCTTCTGGCAACGTGTCCTACCTAAGCCCACTTACTTTGTGTTTTTTTTACGCAGTTAATATGATGTCTCTTATCTGCGTTATTTCTCCGACCCGTGTTTTCATGTTCCTGTCTGTCAAAGTCAACTGAGTGGACATTCATGTGCTGTACATGCACAGGGTGGTCCAGATGTATTATGACCTGCAATTAATTGACCTCTAATATTGATTTCGTTTGCATTTTCTTCTCTGTTTTAAATACACCTTATTTTTCAAATATTAAGCTTTAGAGAATTAAATGGGGGTCACAAGATATCTGGGCCACTCTGTATAGCCATGTGAGCAATCCACTGCTAGATGATGGCCTCCCCATGCTGTCTGTGTAATAGGAGTGAATTGACCATACTTCACTACGCTGGTAAGTACTGGTTGGTGAAGACTGGGAGCATGGACACCGGAGCATAGGGGGAACAGTACAACTATGTATTTTGCTGCACTTTCCTCTGCTGCCCACAACCCAACCACACGGCCTCATGATCACCTTTTAGTGGATGGCAGTCACTCATCCAAGCGCTATCCAGGCTCGTTCTAGCTTAGCTTTTAATTATGATAATGACATTTAGAACGCGCCAGATTTTGAAGACAAGTCAACAACTCAGAGGCGTGGAGCCACAAGCTCAGGCCTGCTCGAAAGCCTGACCAAACATGTTTCTTAACAGTCAAGCGGCGGATGGCAGTCACTCATCCAAGCACTATCCAGGCTCGTCTAGCTTAGCTTTTAATTATGATAATGACATTTAGAACGCGCCAGATTTTGTAGACAAGTCAACAACTCAGA